GGTGCCGTTCGCGGCCGGGCCCGCCGGGCGGTTGCACAGCCCGTGTTAGCGAATCAATGCGTTATTCGAAGCTTCCTCCGGCGAAGGAACGGGCAAAAATCCTCGTGAAGTGGCACGGAGGTGACACCGGCCCCTTCCCGGGCGCTGGCCCTTTCTTCCCAGACGGAAGCGCAGGGCGGCAGCGGGGCCTCAGCGTGTTTGAGTTCTGCCTCCGGTACCGAGATGAGACATCACTTACGTGATGACCGGGGCGTTTTAGCGCTGAGCTGCTTCTCTGCCGTGACTCAGTCCCTGCTGCAGCCGAGCTTTTAATTGGCTATAAGTGACAGTAAAACACCTTCCCAGTGACTTAGCATGAAATTAAAGTCAAACACTTACCGCAGCGCCAGGTTCCCTCACAACCTGCTGGCAGGTTTTAAAGCAGGAATCTCCTTTGTGTTCTTTCAGCACGATCACGCACCGTGGGAGAACTCCTGGCCCCAACTTCTCCCTTTGACAAGAAGTGCGGGCGCGAAAACTGGACCGTGGCGTTTGCTCCGGATGGATCCTACTTTGCGTGGTCACAAGGGCACCGCGTGGTGAAGCTGGTCCCCTGGTCTCAGTGCCTTAGTAACTTGTAAGACAAAACTACCTGGCTTTTCATTCACCTGAAAAACATAACAGCTGTCTCCTGTCGGGAAATTCTTACCAGTTTAAAACACATCTAATGGCTTTTCAGGCTTTGGGAAAGACTGGTTCTTTAAAGTAACAGCTATTGCTTTATCTCTTCCTCTGAGGCCAGCGAGAGAAACAACTGTACTGCAACCTCCCAGAGGCTGTGCAGGAGGGACTGGGTGTTTGATTCAGATGCTCTAAAATAAGAGGAAGTTACAATGAAAAGGGAATGTAAAGACTCAGGAGGATCTGGACTTCTAAATTTCCTATCAGAGGGCTACTTAGCTTTTCCGAATTCACCTGAAGGCAAACCCGCAAGGAAGGTCCAAAAGACACATTGTATTTTCACGTTCGGGTTGTGTCTTAATGAGGTCAGGAACCAGCACTTGCATTTTTGTAGCTGGTTACATTGCCCTCCCAAGCACATCCCGCCTCCTCTTTCTTTCTTCCCTCTTCTGGTGGGGGGTTATTTGGTTTCCATGCACTGGCCACAGTATCCCTTACGGTGTTTAACTGGTGGAAGTGATTTACAGGGAACTTTCTGCTCATTTAGCAGAAACACTTTGAAACGTTTGTAACTATTATTTCTGTCAATGCTTTAAAAGTACTGTTTTCACTGTGGCTTAAGTTCCTACGTTGCTCTCTGCAGAGGTAAACATGGGTACCCAAGTATTAGTATTACACTGTGAAAGAAGGTTTCCAGGTGTTAGTCATTTTTGCCAGTCTTAAGAAAAAGCTGCTTTTATAATTTGAAATGCAACCCACACCATTATAGCTCTCCAAGATGTACATTACAGCACCTCCCAAATTTCATCACATTCTAAAGACCTTCCTGTTTCATTTCTTTTCCAAGATATTTCATGCCATTGCTGTTTTTCATTTTTGCTTGCTCTGCAGCTTGGTGCATGGCACAAAGAATGTTGCCAACTCTCCCAGCCCAAGACTTCCGAGGCAGAACAGTGACAGTGGCCAGAAAAACAAACCCTGTGAGCATATCATAGACTGTGGAGACATCGTGTGGAGCCTGGCGTTCGGCTCCTCGGTGCCGGAGAAGCAGAGCCGCTGTGTGAACATCGAATGGCACCGCTTCAAGTTCGGGCAGGACCAGCTCCTCCTGGCCACGGGCTTGAACAACGGGCGCATCAAGATATGGGATGTATACACAGGTAGAGTGGGAGAGAGAAGCTGGAGCTTCACGGGCACTTCATGCATTAGTAACATCATTCATACACAGAATGAATTGGGAACTGAATCTTGAATATAAACGACCATAAAAAAAAAGCATGAACTCCTCCAACTAGAAATGTTCAAATACTGCTGGAGGAAGGAACAGATTCAGGTCATGCTTCAAGATGTAAGTGAAGCTTCAAGATGAAGCCTCATTGCTGCAAAATGGTTAGGCATGTGATTGACTTTGTGAATATTGGTAGTTTACACTAAAATCTTCCCTGGATTTTAGTGGCAATATACTTTCAAACAAAGAAAACTTTCAAGAGATGAAGTTGCTCTGTTCTTGAGAATGGGGAGGGATTATGTTGATGAGACCCTTTTTAAAGTAAGTAATTGTTCAAAGAACACTGAATCTGAAATGAGGGAGTCTATAGTAGCTGTGGCACAGCTGCTAGGCTGTGAGGACTCAGCTTTAAAGAAATGAAACTAAAGACTGTTGAGTAATTTACATTATCTTGTAAATTTAAGCTTAGAACAGATATGTATTAAAAAACAAGACTTGCCTTATTTCTGAGACATATGGATTTAGTGTAGAGATTTACTAGCTTTTCTGTCCCAAGAGGAATTTCCTGAAGAGTCTGAAAGGATACACATGCTTCCTGCTGTAGACAGCATTTCTACAAAGAAAACTGGCTTTACCTGCTGTAATTTTGTATCCATAAAGCATTGGTGGGATAAAAGAGGTGTCCTTCATTTGGAATTGTGGTGTTTCCATTGAACAGGAAAACTCCTCCTTAACCTGATGGACCACACAGAAGTTGTTCGCGATTTAACCTTTGCCCCAGATGGGAGCCTGATTTTAGTGTCTGCATCCAGAGATAAAACACTGCGAGTGTGGGACCTGAAAGATGATGGTAGGAATTAAGTTTATCTGCTGCAATATGTAGGAGAAATAGCCACATACTCTCCTCTTTTATTGCCAAAAATATAATCAGGTCATGATTGCTTAAAAAGTCACTTCTGTCAATCACTGTGTGTTCTGTTGAAATTCTCCGTGTGTCCCCTAAAGGTATAAACTGGTACCACGTTAAGAGTGTGTGAAGTGACCTCTTTTAACAGGGACGTGGGATTTAGAGGCTGCCTGCCACAATTTTTATTTCTGTGCAAAATGACTCCGCCAGATGTGTGATATTTAACCAATTCTTACGGGAATATCTGTCTTTTTAGGAAATATGATGAAAGTGTTGAGAGGACATCAGAACTGGGTATACGGTTGCGCATTCTCTCCAGATTCTTCCATCCTCTGTTCAGTTGGAGCTAGTAAAGCAGTATGTGTCAGAGTTCCTTGTTCATTACATCTACTGAATTGTGTGCATAATCATTTTAAATCTAAGTAACATCAAGCTTGTGCTCGGTGTCATGAACTTCTAATGTTTTATGATGATGTAAAAGTGCATGAAATTAAACTAGCAAATGGTGCATTGAGACACTGATTTATGAATGGAACTTGCACTGCTTTTAGTTGCAGAAACTGTAAGAGTTCTTTGACAAATAGTTCTGCACATGTTCATAGTATAAAACCAAAGACGAACTAAAGCTTTCAGTGTTAAAAGATGCTTAGATTAATGCATAAAACTATTTTATTATTGATTTTATCCTTTCTATTTCCTACTCAATGAAAGGGACTTTTCAAAGTCTGAGCCAGACACGGTATCTCCCATTGAACAAAAATGTTTCTACTTGTTTTCCAATACAAATGGCCCTCGTGTCTAAAGACTAGAAGGAAGAGCAGCATACTGGTTTTGTTTTCACCCCTATTCTAATGACCTGCTAGAGAACTGAAAGCAGTGCAGGTAAAGCACATATGCCATAAGCTGCTTTTCTTGGCACTGAAGAATTAGGATAAAACAGAGGGGAATTCAGTCCAGTGACAGGGGCATTGAGGTAGTTTAATGAAGCCTAGTGATGCTGAGTAAAAAGCACAGTTTAGTCCTTGGATACTACTTTATATGGGTGACTGTTCAAATGCTTACTTTATACTTTAAATTGTCAGTGCAGATTTGATAGAGAATAGTTGAGGTCTGGGGTTTGGTTTTTCTTTAACTAGAGCAGATATGGATGTATACATTGCTGTCTTTAGGCTGTGTGTTTTCCATAAGCTTCTTGCTTTCCCTGTCACAGGTGGTGGCAGCAATATTGATGTGATTGAGGTTAAGCTGGCACCACTCACACAGGAGCACAATGGTGTTAGCTGGGCAGAGAGTGGCATCTCTGGCTACCAGGCTGGGGGCGAACTTTACCGTAGGACGAAGTAACCTTGCCTTCGGCTGCAAGGTGTCCTGTACGTACGCAGGTGCTGGTCGATGTCCACCTTCTGCTTTCTTTCTTTCCTTTTTTTTTTGTTTTTTAATAATTTTCACAGCAGTGAAACCCACTGACTCCTCAAACTTAGCTTCCACTTGTATGGAATGTTGGGGTCTCCTTGGAGAAATTGGTCAACACGTTTATAACCGACTGTAAATGGGTCAGTTTGAGGAAGTACATGAGGCATTAAGGCTGTTGGCTTTGGTCAAACACATACATTTATCCAAGATACCAGTGTTTAATCTGTGCACTAAAAGTGAGTCAGGAACATCAAGGACCCTAATGAGCTCTTTAGGGACGTAACATCTTATGCTAAAGACATAGTTTTCTATGAAATTATGCTGCAGTACATAGTTCATTCCTATTAAGTAATTCTGCACAGTCTTGACTATATCTAATGTAAAAGTGCATGTAAAATCCTAGAATACTATCAACTTTTATTGATTTTTATAATATAATATGCAATTACTTGGGTAAATTGTAATATTAATGTTGTTTTTTACTGTTGACTTGATTTAAAATGCATAAATCCTTTCTAATAATGTGGTTAGACTTCCCTGTTGTTTTGCCAAAGACATAACTTTTAGCTGTGAAAATTCTTTTTGCTTGCAGTATCTGTTTCTCTTCCTAGGCTGACGTTGGTGATCCAAGCCAATTGTAAACAAGTGATCTTAAACTCAAAGGGATGCCACTGGAGTAACAATATGTTAACCTTACATTTTCTGTCTGTATATTTCTTACAATTTTGGTAGTTACTGAAAGGAGGGGACTGTAGAGTTTAACCCTATTTATTTCTGCATATTTTAATAAAATAGTTTTGTAATACATGAATTTCAGTAAGCTACATGGTTAAATTGTGTTGCCTTTATCTTATATTTTGGCTTATTTTGTTAATAACATTTAACAAACCTGAGTTAGAACTTGCATGTCTGCTTTAATTATTTTTATAAAACCCTCGATTTTAATCTGAGTATGACACTGAGCATATTCCTTAATTGTAGTAATTCATAATGCCTGATTTTAATATAATCCTAAATAAGACTAGCAGCTATACTTTAAAATAAAGTAAGTGCTTCCCTGCAGCTCTGAGCAGAGCTATAACATCAGCTTATTTAATTGCAGGTTTTTCTCTGGGATATGGATAAATACTCCATGATACGGAAACTTGAAGGACATCACAATGATGTTGTAGCTTGTGAGTTCTCTCCTGATGGAGCTTTACTGGCTACTGCATCTTATGATACCCGAGTCTATGTCTGGGATCCACATACTGGAGTTATTCTTATGGAATTTGGGTAAGTGAAATAATCAAATCTGGGAGCTTTCCCCTGGGTGGAGATGACTCCTGAAAATTAATGGATTTCCATGTTTAACTGATAATCAGACTTGGGAAAAATCTTAGCAGTGGCTGATGGAAATCCTGAAGTGTCAGAGTGGTGGAGATCATCCTTCTATCTGAGAAGGAGTTTAAAGCACTGATGTTTTCACGTGCGCTTATTTAAGCATCCTCAACAAAGCTAAAGTGTTCGGTACCACGAAGCTCCAGTAGTTCAGTCTCCACTGCTGATTTCATAGTTAGATGTTCAGTCTGGTTTTTCTCCCTCAGCTTTGCTAGCCAGGGCTGAAGGAAACACTTCCTAGTCCTTAAGCATTTCACTGCTAGCTCAGTGTCTTTCTGTCTCCAGGCATCTGTTTCCTCCTCCTACTCCAATATTTGCTGGAGGTGCAAACGACCGGTGGGTCAGATCAGTATCTTTTAGTCACGATGGACTACACATTGCAAGCCTGGCTGATGATAAGTAAGTATGAGGAAAGGTTTTTACTCCTCTAATTATTCCCAGATGATATGAACTTTTAAATACTAAGTCAGCTTTTTGGGTTTTAAGTGAGAAACAACTTCTAATGATCTTGGTAAAAGTAGCCGAGTTGTCTGGTGTGAATGTTCATTCTGAATGTAGAAATACTTAGACATGTACAGAGTAGAGGATCTGAATAATTGGAGCACGTAACAGCTGAAACCAGGAAAAGAGGGGTTGTAAACAGTGAAAAAAGTAGATGGAGTTACTAGTGCACATAAGTCTTTTGAACAGCAGTAGATTCCAAAGTAAAAAGTGTTCTGTGATACTACATTCAACTTCCACTAACACTGCAAGTAGTATTCGGAAGAACTGGATTTCTGCGTTGAGGGCAGTCTTTTATTTTAACTGTTGGGGTTGAAATGGTTGAAGAAATACAGATCAAGGTCTAGATCAGGAATGAAGAAGTCGTGGCATTTCAGGCCAAGTCTGAAACACCTTGTGTGCATGTGAAAGTGTTTCTAAAAATTCCCCAAGCTCCACTGCAGACTCGTGTCTTGTGTCAGCATTAGGGGAAATACTGGGCAGAATTAAATGTCTGCTCTTACAACTCACTCCTTTGTTCTTCCCTTGTCAGAATGGTAAGATTTTGGAGAATTGATGAAGAATACCCTGTACAAGTTGCACCTCTGAACAATGGCCTCTGCTGTACTTTTTCTACTGACGGCAGTGTTCTAGCTGCAGGGTAAGTGTATACTGGGGTTTTCCTTCCTAAAATATTAAGGCAACACTAAAGGGTTGAGAAGAGTGGCAAAGTGTTCTAAACATCCTCAATTGTGACGACTGAAAACCAGGTCAGAAGCACCAAGTTGCATTTCTGGTACTATTTGTTTAAACATGCCTGGAATAGCAGTAAAATCAAGAAGCTGATAAACTCGTTCCTTATCTGGGAGAATAAATAAGAGACAGACCCACAAACATGTGGATTGGCAAGAGACCAGTAGATAATCAAGGGCAGTTGCTCTGTTTCAGGGGATGCCCTCAGTAGCTGTTGGAGGATCTGCTCAGGCCTGTCACACAGATAATCAGAAGTTGCTTACTGTGATGCTGTAGCTAAATGAAGAACTGGCATCTAGTGTGACTGAGCTGGAACAGCCAGAACCAAGCAACAGGGAGCCCAGAGCACCTTCCCCCTAACTAGCAGTGTATGAAAGCATTTGTACCAAGCTGAAATCATTCAGGTGGGATAATCCTGGTGGGTTTTTGGTTTTGAGCAGGACACAGGATGGCAGCGTGTACTTCTGGGCAACTCCAAGACAAGTTTCCAGTCTCCAGCATCTGTGTCGCATGGCAATTCGCAGAGTGATGCCCACCCCCCAGGTCAAGAACTTGCCCATCCCATCAAAGGTGGTGGAGTTCCTTTGTTACCAGATCTGACTCATTAAAATCAGACTGGCAGGGGCCCAGCTGCTGAAACTGGCTGAACACGTCAAAGAGGCCTCAGACTTTACAGCCTTTAAGCTTAAAACTCTACAGGTTTTCAAGAGCTATTTAAAGTGATACCTAAATCCTATTTTATCAAAATGCCTGACAGGTAAATTTTTGATATTTATAGAAAACACAGTAGAAGTATCCCTGGTGTTCTCAATTTTCTAAACTGTAACTGTGAAAACATGTACATATATAGACATAAGCTGCTACATGTTAGCAATGTACCTTTAAAAATTGCTTTTCTGATTGTAATGTGTATCGTGTATATATTGCTTTGGTAGAGCCATCAATTGCATCCGTGCTGTCAAGTGGAGGGATAGTTATTTCCTGGGGCACTGAGCTAGAAAAAGTATTGACTTCTGTGCAGAGAGCAGTTAGGCTTATGTACATTGGTTGGGGAAGCTGATCCAGGTAGAATTCATAGTGGTTGATGTCACGAGGAGGCACAGCCTGGCTTTTAGAGCAATGTATAGTGAGGGAAGTAGGTAAGGAAGGGTTGGGGTAGATCTAATTCAACCCAGGAATACTGGCTGTGTGTCAGCTCAAGAAGGCCTTAAGTTCCACAGCAGCAAACCAGGTTAAATTCAGTATTGGGCAGTGTTAAAGCAACTTCCTCACATGTCTGAAAATCTAACTACTGTATCATTGCCTGATACTTGTCTGTAATGAGACGTTTCAGACTCGGTTTCTTATTCTTCAACCCTGTAATATCTCTTCAGGGTGATTATTGGTTAATGGCCAAAGATAAGCAAAATACTTGGTTTTGCCTCCTGTTATTTATCTGTACCTGCAGATACAAAGAATGTATGCATTGCAGAAAATGCCTCATTATATATTTTTTTTGTTGAATTTTTTTATTAAAAACTTGTATAAAAGTTTCCTGACACAGTGTCTGGTGACTGATGGGTCAGCACTATCCTCCTGCAGCAGTTGTAGTGGGAAGCTGCTGCTGCAGGACCCTCCAGTTTTCTTTTTTGGGACCACAACACACTGATCATGGTGAAACTCACTGAGAGCCACAGTGAGACCTCCCAACCTGTTGTGTAGGCAAAGATTAAAAGCACACGTGATGCTCGTGTTCCCTGCTCTGTGGGAAATGGAGTTTGCACTGGTGGCCACTGGCTGTCCCAGGGTATACACTGACCATGGCTCTTCACTCCCTGCTCTCCCCGAGTGCTGCTTTGGGCAGCCCCAGCCCTACTCTCCAGGAAGATTTCCCCAAACGCTGTTTCCAAACACCATAAATCAACTTCCACTTTCCAAGGAGTACTCCAGAACAAAGCCAATGGACACAACTTCCTTAGGAGTTAAAATCCAGCTTGTGAAGACCCAGCAAATGTACACGTGGCTACTCCATGACTCACTCCTTTGGCACAACACTTTTCACCTAATAGAAGCAAGAATTTCCCTCTTTCTGTTTATTCTAAATATACATGTGATTAAGACAAGGCTTCTCATACACTGCCCAGGTAAAGGAATAACTGTGAGTTCTGTCCCCCTAGAACATCACTCAACTTGAACACAGATATGAGCAAAGAATAGCAACCAGGTACTGAGTTTTCTGCAAGGGAGCTTCCTAATTCATAAACACATGCTCCCCCTAAACACAGTCGCTCAGATCAGCTCAAGCACTACCCACTCTATTTTGCACACTCTGCTGGGAGGTTCGTTTGCCCTGTCCCATCAGAGACCCCCAAACCAAAAGCAACTCTTTACCAATATCATTCTATCAGCAAAGATTAAGCAGATGGGTGCAGACAGCTTGATTTTAAAGTATGTTCTACAGAGCTCTGCCTGATTAAGGAAATAATTCTTCTACAATCTTAGAACAACACACAGACTGCCAGGGCCATTACCCTCAAGTGTACAGTCAGGAGTGAAGGGAATAACCTGCACCCCAGAATGTTACTAAGACGGGTGGAAGTGGTTTGGGGACTGAAGTACACTGCTGTTGTCACCGTGCTGCCACCAGCTTGGCCTCATTAAAAACAGCTCATAAAGAGAAAATCTGAAGTGAGCAAAGCAGCACCTTTGGGGTGTTGGTGGCTGTTAGCTGGGGCTGAGGAGAAGTGGGTTTAGATCCATTTGCAGCCATCCGGAAACATGCTCTGCGTGGCAAGTATTTCTGTGGTGAGTGTAATTAATGTCTACAAATCCTTTTGCAATCCTCTGCTGAAACGTGCTCTGGGTATTAGAGCCAACAAAGTTGACAGGAACAGAGCAGAGGGAGCCAGAAGCTGTCCTGCAATACAGCACCACGCCAGAGCACAGCTCCCAAGGGCAGGCAGCAAAGGCAATTAGCAGGAAAAGGGATGATGCAACAGCCTGCAGAATTTCCTGACAGGAGCAGAAACATAATGCGAGGGAAGAGAGAAAGACACAAATAAATGATTGAGACTCACTGGGCCAGAAGCTCTTTTAAAAGAAAAGCGTGTTGAGGACACAAAAGCAACAGACAGAGGAAGTCAAGACAGGCAAGAGCAGAGTGGCAATTTCTAAGTTGCTGAGGAGGAATTTGGCCATGTACTCTGTGGCTGGGCACTGCTACTAGAAAGGCTGATGGGCTTTCATTTTTATTGTTATTGCTTATTAATTCCATGCAGCATTACAGAACAGATGTTTCTATCAGGGATATGTTGTACTACGTGGAGTATTAACTGACCTGCTCTGTTCCTCTGCCTGAGCACAGTAAAGCCCAGTACCACTGTAACACTTGGCTCTGTTCTAGGACACCTACATCTCAAGCCCTGGTTGGCAGACTTGGGTGTCTTGACGACATTAATCCTGGTTGAGAAGTGCCACCACTGACGAGCTACAAAGCTGCTGGTATCCCTTATAGCACCCACAAGGCTCAGGGGCCTTTGGGTGACAAGCAGTTGTACTTTGCAGAGAGACATCTAGTGCTCTTCTGGGAATCTAACAGTAACAGACTCATTTTTGTCAAGTGCATATTTATCCTCCTTCCCATTTGCTCATAGCAGCACTTCCTGACAGACCTGGATGCCTGAGCAGCACAAACTCTGAGGACTGAAGCCAGTTATAACTTTGATAGTGACATTTCCAGAAGCATAGAAACCCACAAATGACTTACAGAGGAGCTGCAGCTGGCAGGTCGGAGGAATCACTGGGGACCAGCATGCAGTCAGCAGAGAAGCATCTGTGGAGGAGCAGCTCTCATGTAGGACACAAAACAGGGTATTCCCCAGGAAAGCCCTTCTCTAATAAAGGCTGGGTGGGAGGAACTGAAGGATTAAAGGTGTAGGAAGCAGTTTCCTCAGGAGGACATAATTTGGGCTTGACTGCAATTAGGCCTACCTGCCCCAGGCTGGTACCAATTCCCCCCAGCTCTTCTGAAGTAGCAGCTGTCAAGGAGGATCAGGGAAAAAGGCAAAGAGAAAAAAAAAGAAGGAAAAAGGGAACCTGAGCCATGATGCAGGAAGGGATGAGCATGGAGCTGGATGCTCTCTGCTTTGGGGTGAGCCCTGGCCAGAGCAGCAGGCTGGGCAGAGAGCTGCTGTTACAGCCCAGCCCTTAGCAAGCAGCTGTGACTGGGAGTAACTATGGAGAGTAACCAGGAAGGAGCATTTCAGACAACATGCTCCTCTTGTTTCCAAAGGAAATCCCATATTCTGCAGTCCGGGAAAAGTCTGTGCTTTAACTGCCGGTGTTGCTTTCATGCAGGCACTAAAATGATTAGGTTGGATTCTCACAGTGTAAATACCATGAGGCTAAATAGATTTTCATCTGAAAATCCAGCTCCACATAGCTTCCTGTGAGCTCCACCCCCACAAGCCATCCTTCTGGCCTTCAGACAAGGGGCAGGAGGGCCTAAAGGTGCAGGGAAGTTTGCAAACGGGTCCCAGTGCCTGCCTGCCTTGGGAGCCAGGGGACAGGGTAGCCTCTGCCTAAGGACCTGCCCTGCAGCACTGGCTGGAGCTACAGCAGGCAGGAGCAAGGCCCAGGGAAAAGTGGAGCTTCAGGCAGAAGCTCTGTTCATGCACAGCATTTTAGTTGAATCACTTTGGGAGAGACTGAAGAACACTGCAAAGTGAGTTATTTTTTTAATACCAAACAAGGTTGTCCATTGGAATAGTTTAGAAATAGGGGGGAAGAATCCCATGACCTCTTTTCCTCCCATACTGCGATGTGCTCATAAAGGCCAGAGGTTCTGTAAGATCCCCTGGGAAATCTAGAAAAGGTGTCAGGCAGAAACTGTTTATCCAAGTAATGATTTCAGATCAAAGCCACCTGAGCAAGGCAGATGGGGCTGAGGTGTCAGGCTGGCTCCTGCACAGGATGATTTTTACAAACACCATGCACACAGCACACAAATCCAGCTGCAGTAAGCTGTTTCAGAGCAGCTTTGATTCTTGATGGCCTGGAACACAAAGGAGGCCAGCGTAAACTCCAGATAAGCAATCACTAACTTTGTGTAAGTGATTATAACAGTATCGGTTATCAGCAAGGTTATGTATAACTAGCAGAATTCCAGACACAAGTTCTGGATAGGCAGATATTATGGATTTCTAACATGAGGTTAGAAGATCACCAAAGAGAGGTGTTTGTCTGAAAAGCAGCTGTGGGACAGGGCTCACTTGTTAGGCTGGGGCACTGTTTTGCGCTGGATCCCTAGGAGAGGAAAGGAGATCTGCTCCCTGGCTAAGGGAGTAACGTTCCTACTGCCAGGAAGTTATGGAAACTGAACTCCCAAAAAAAACAAAACAGAAAAGATGTTTTGCTATAACACATGACGTGAGATCCTGTAAACGAATGCATTTTTGTGCAATACAAATTATTCTAAACCTGCAGTAACTAATATCTCAAAGCTAAGGTGGCTTCAAAATCTCAGCTGAGCTCGGGAGAAGTAGCTCTGTTCACACCCAGGGCTGGGACAACTCAAAACGAGTCTTTGATGGCTTTTTTGTTACTATTTCAGTCATGTCAGGCCACAGAAATCCCATTGTGCTACCTACACATGGCAAACCAAACAGCTCATCAGGTCAGAGACCCGTGGAAACGTTTCCGTTTCAGTTACACCGTACAACTGAACCACTAAGGTTTTACTGATGCTACTTCCTTCTCTGTCACCTCCTGCTCCAAAAGACAAGCACCTCTTTGGGAAGACTAGCTTAATCCGTGTTCAAATGACATAACAGACACTGCAAAAAAGCATCTTGTACCAGGATAAATACCAGGATGGAAAAATTAAATTGAAATTATATGGAAGCAGTATATGGGTGTGCACTATTAGGAGTGTAAATTCACATCTTCCTGTGCTCCTACACAGCAGCATTAGGCTGTGTTCTGGTGGGACTCTTCATTACTGACTGACTCCTTGTGCTCACAGCAGAAGGACCACGTTCAGAGGAAGGGTTTAAGAGAAATGTTGCTTCATCTTATTGCATCAGGGGAAGGAGAAAAAAATAAAGAAAAAAAAAAAAATCCAAGGTCCACTGTTGATAACAGGAGTAAGAAGACTTAGTTTGGGAAGAACTTTGCTCCTGATGTGGCGTGTCACAAGACTGAGGTGTCTGTTTGCTGCTGTCCCAGTGCAGAGCTGTTCTGGTTCTGGTCAGGCTATTGGCATTTCAAAAGTAAGGATCCCTCCAGGAACAGGGGCAGATGAGGAACTACCCCAAGCCTAGACACCCCAGCAGCACCCTGCCAAACAGCTTGATCTGCTGCCTGGAGAAACCTCTCCTGACTATGCTCCAGCATAACATCACAAATAAGCAGAGTACATCATGCCAGCAGCGTGATCAATGAATGGCCAGGTCCTGATGAGTCCCATTCACAGCAAAGAAAGACTAGCAATAAAGAAAGGGAAGATTGATGTCTGGATTGTGCTATACCACGGCTTCATGTGGGAT